TGCGAGAGTTTTCCGGGAGTAAAGGACATTCCTTTACCATATGGTCTCTCCTACCACAGTATAGGCAGAGTCCCTCCCTTCTCCTATGTAATTTCTCAGTATCAGAGAGTTTGGCAACCCCTAATTGCATAGGTTCCTCCTCAGACACTTTAACACTCTCTGGTATATTAACTCTGGGGTTAATGGGTGTAACAAAACGTCTATTCCTGTTCTTGGTATAGAGCCTGTCACGAATTCTATTATCTATATCAATGAGGTAATCGATAAGGTCCTCTAAGGCAATAGGAAGCTCCTTAGCTGCTACCTCATCCAATATCGTATCTGACAAACCTTCCATAAAGGCAGTAGTTAACCCATTGTTGGTCCAATCTACCTGCGAAGCAAGAGTGCGAAACTGAATAGCATAATCAGCCACAGACCTAGAACCCTGTTTAATTCTCATTAATGCTCTCGCGGCATTCTTTGACCTTTTCATTGTGTCAAAAGTTCTACGAAAAGCCGTAAGAAAACTGTTGAAATCATGTACCATAGGTCCATTAGCTTCCCAAATAGGATTTGCCCACTCAAGTGCCTTATCGGTAAGTTGGTGCATAAAGAACCCAACCTTAGACCTCTCTGTGGGAAATGAACGTGGATACATTTCGAAGTGGAATTCAATTTGATTAATAAACCCTCTGCAAGTCTTAGAGTCCCCTCCATACCTAGGAGGAGGTGTTAAATGGGCCGAAGTATTAGGCAAAGTAGATACTTCAGGGAGAAGGGGCGTAGGAGGGTTAGGTGTGGTTGCTGGAACGGTTCTAGCTAGGAGCGTCTGGAGAGCCTGAGCTATCTGATCCATACGGTGATCCTGCTCTACAAATCTTGCCTCATGGGACGCCATCTGTTGAGCTAAATCTGCGGGGTCCATGGCCCTATCGTAATGTAACGAGAATATACCCCTACACGCAGGATCCAGCTAAACAGAGGCAAATACAGAGGAGAGATACGTCTACCGGACCTTAGAATGGCCGGACTCGACGTATATGAGAGGAGACAGAGCCAGGAACAAACCGAGGTCAAGGGCACAGAGAGACAGCGTAAACTAGGACAAGCCGGGGTCTGGTACACGGAAAACAGCAAGCCGGCAAACAGTACAGATAAGGATAAAGCGAAAACGAAGTCAGAATACGAAGCCAAAGTCAATACGAGAAAACACAACTGAACACCACAAGCGCTAAAGGGAACTGAAACAGAAACCACGATAGGGCAACGAGCTAAGGGAAAAAGGTAAGTTTAAATAGCTTTTAAACGAAAGTGATTGGCTCCTGTCACTTCCACACCCCCTATAGGTAATTGTACAGGGAGTGTGGTATGACAGGAGCCAATGGGAGCCTTTTGGCAATTAGGCTCCCACTGTCTCTTTAAGAGCGCGCCCGAGACTCGCGGCGCGCTCTTAGTTTCAGGACACGTGACCGCTTCACGCGGTCACTGCCCGCCCTCCATCTAAAGCAGTCGGATGAGCCGCGCGCGGCTCGTGCAGCCGCAGGACCGCGCGCGGCTTGAAGAGAGGACCGCGACCGGCCCCCGGTTAAGGTAAGTAACGCTACAAGTAGTACGATGAGTGTGGGGTGTAAAAAGAACCAGACTTATAGTCTGTAGCAGCAATGTATAAAATTATGTTGATACCATGGGAATAGCTATGAGTGGCTCAGAAATGTTTGCATGCTTGAATAAGACATCTGAGGGAGGCCGTGGCCTATGTACAAACAATCTATGTGTTACGTGATAATGGTGTGTAAAGGAAAACATGAAACGTAGGTTATATACATATGTATATGACTGTGTAGGGGACGTATGATTGGTTGGATCAGTACGTGTGATTCAACCCGAGTATGCATGCAAAAGGATTTAAGCCTTATGTGTCATCGTCATGACAGAGAAATGAGGCCTGTAATGTAGGCTGAGTAAATTGAAATGAAATGGATAGTTATAAAACTCCTGGCGTGGGAGTTCAATGATCTGTACCAAAATGTAACTGGTTTTATAGAAAGGGACATGGATGAGGTCATGGCCTAATTAACACAGCGTTATGTATGATATGTAGCAGAAAGACCAAAGGCAGGGAAACCCCAAAATGATTTAACATGATGTAAAGTGATGTATATCTATATATGTATAGCAAAGACGTATCAACCCGAGAATTATTGCTTAAATGAACCTATCCTTGTATATGTTGTATTAATAACCCAGAAATGAGGCTTGTAACATAGGCTGAGTCCATTCGTATAAATGGATAAGTAATGCAGACCCCTGAAAGCGTGGGAGTCAAATGGTATACACAGAGAAGTGGACTTGATTTGTGGACGTAATACAATACTGACAATTTGTTAAAAGTAATCAACAATAATCTATTTAAGCAAGCAATACTTTAACAGAATGTTATATACACATGAAATGGTGAATATAATTCATGAAAGGATTATACGTGAACACACAGAACAGCCGAAAGCAAATGTGAGGGGAACACAGAAGTTAGAATAGTTTAACCGTATGATTTATGCGAACCAAAGCGTGTATGAGCGTATGTAAAATTTGCCGAACGGCAAAACAACCGAATGAACATTCGTTTAAATAACATGAATAGGATATGCGAAATGACTATTGAACGATTTAAAACATGTTCAGCCGAATGACCGTACGAATGAAAAGCCCGCGAATGGCTTGAAACATTCGTGTCATAACCAGGGAAAAGCCGTAAAGCGAGGACCCGTGCTGTACCGTACGCCGTGGGAACCAGTCCTGGCGTGACAGGAAGGTCTGACTTACGGTTTAGGAGTCCCTGGGACGCGATCTACAACGGAGAACGGAGTCAGAAGAAGCTGGACGGGCGGAAAGGCCTGAACAGGATTCCTGGACACAGCTTAACGTGGTGAAACCTCCTGGATACTGAAACCAAGATGGCGTCTGAGAGAACCCGGAAGTGGATCCTCATTCAACGCTGACCTCGAACGGTAAGGAGCCAGGCAAGGGGAGTGCCTTAAGTAGGCTAGGGGTAGAAAACCAGCACCTCCCACAAATGCAGGCAAATTGCCTTAATACATATATATAATATATATATATATATATAATAACTATATATATATTGTATATTTTATATATATATATATATATATTATAAAAAATAAATAATTCACTAAAAATAATCTGTAAAAATAATTTTAAACAAATTATATATATATATATATATATATATATATATATATATAATTTTATTCTTACTGTATTTTGGTTTGATTCACAAACAATGCTAAATAAGATGAAGGCTAAAAACATTTGCTGAGTTTCTGCATTCCTGCCGCATGAAAGGCAGTTGTAGTCTCAGTTGTGATAGGAGCTCTCAGGGCTGTGACCCTCAAGTAGGTGGAGTGGCTTCAGCAGATTCCAGGTGGGACATCCAGAAGACTGCAGTTCTAGGAATAGTTGCAATACTGCGCAGAACCCTCAGACTCCCAGGCCTCTGGTAGAGGACCAGAGAATGAAGAATACACACAAAAATGCCAGTTTCAATTTACGTTCGAGATATCTATCAAGGAAAGTTTTGAATGTAGACAGAAATGTTGACTAATTACCTCTAGAATGTGTTAATAGTTTGATTTAGCTTTTTGTATATTATTGAATCATAGCAGGGAAGACTGAATAAAAGAAAATAACCTGTTAAATTTAATTTACCTTATGGTTTCTGAATGGATAGTGATGGGAAAAAAAAATCTATAGATTTGCCACCTCACAGACCCCAAAATCTTAAAAACATGGCTATTCATTCATGGGAACTGTGGAGAATGACAAGATAATTAAAGATTTTAGACTAAACATTCCAAATTGGGAAGTTTATATTATTGTATTTTTCCACCTCAGCTATAGTGCCTAAATTGTGCAATTCTTTTTGTCAATCCTCCACCCGTGAATAACTCAGCTTGCAAAAAAACAGGACTTTAAAACACAGCAAAATGTGTTAGTGCCATCTAAACAAAATAAAGTTGCAAAGTTTACAGTTATGAAGGCCATTTAATCCACCCACCCTGGTTCCTTCAAACTATATAGCATGCACCTCCAGCTGTTTGGAACCACAGCCAATCACCTCCCTATTACCTTTACATGTTATCAGCTGCTGCAGTTATACCATTAACTCTCTCTGCCATCACATACCGTCTCATCTCCCCATTTCAACCTTTAGATTGTAAGCTCACGGGCAGGGCCCTCTACCTGTCTGTTCTTATTGTGTTTGTCTTTTTCTCAATTGTACAGTGCTGTGGAATTTGTTGGCGCTTTATAAATGCCAGTAGTAGTAATAATAATAATAATAATTGTGTGTGGTTATAATATATTATTGATTATATTTCTTACCAGGTCTGTGTTAAATGCATATATTTGTATTTTAATATTATACTGTACCATATTGTAATGATGCAGTGTTAGGGGGCCGACGACATACTTGAAAACGAGAGAAATCTCAATGCATCCTTCTTGGTAAAATATTTTATAAATATTAATGTATAATTCCACTGTGCTAGCTGTACAAAGAGTAATGTAAGCATGTAGGGAAATGATAACAAAATATATATTTAGGCATTGAGTGTGTGATGAGAGTTCTGATCATGTTCCAGGAGTATACAATTAAAATATATCATAGAAATAATCTACACTATTCTCCTTAAACTACAGGAGACTTCTATGTCAGAACTGACAAGGTTTTTCTTGGATAAATTTAGAGAGTTAACCATTTCAGGAGTGTGTTCAAGGGACTTGTTTTAGTCTGGCCCTTTAAGGGGTTAATCATTCTAATGAGAGCTTTGTGCCTTCCTCCCCTCTATGATTGGCTGTGTCTCTCCTGCCTTGTGCTTTGCACTGTGTGAGCTTGGTTGTGTTGTTAGTTCAATGTTAGAACAGGATTGATAGAAGCTCAGCTGCTCTGCATCTTGTCTTTGCGTATACCCTGTAAGCTTAACATCGCCCCCCCAAAAATGGGGGTGAAATCTAGGATGCTGTGGCTCCTGCCCTGCTTTCTAGCTGCCTTTGTCAAGGCACAGAAGGAAATCGACCAAAAGTGGGTAAGAACACAAATAAATCAGTCTCTGTTAGATAATTACACACATTATTATTGTTATTGAAATGTCTAATTGCATATTCAATGGAAAGACTGCAGTATAAAGACAACTGACATTTTTATTTTTAAAGCAACATTGATTATGAACATATATATATTGTTTTTTAATACATGAATTACCCATTTTACTCCTGCATTTCTTGTATTGTATGGTTGCTATGCTAGCATAAAAGGGTCTGATCTATAGATACAATATATTAACCAGTGGTTATCTGGATTGGGGGTTAAACACTATCAGATTCATTTTGTACTTTGATCACATCCGTTTCATGGTTGTGTTGGCAGGCAACAGTGTGATGTGTGTCTATAAAAGGTGATGTACAGTAATTAGTGTTTGTGGAATTAAAGCTGCTGAAATGTCATTCTAACCTAGACCAACTGTTATATCTGAACAGATGATCTGTTTTCATTAACTCCATTACTGAATAACACAAGCAATGTACATTCCTCAGTAAAACTAGATCTTTTAACCCCTTAAGGACACATGATATGTGTGACATGCCATGATTCCCTTTTATTCCAGAAGTTTGGTCCTTAAGGGGTTGTGTGTGTGTGTGTGTGTGTGTGTTGTTGTTGTGGTTTCTCCCAAAAAAAAAAAAAAGCATTAAAACATTTAGCAAAGGCTAGATCGCAGGGGGCCATTGCAAGCAGAGTAAGGCATAAACATACGTTGTTCATATTCAATCAAAAGGGCATTTAAGTGAGAGAAGTTTCTATAAACAGCCTGCATTTTATAGCAGCCATTGGGTTCCCATCAGTTAATCTTCTTTTGTACATTTTCAGCCACTGACAATGATTATAATTGTAGCTATATTCCAGCTGGCTGGGGTTGATATATAATGTACCAGGTATGATTTTATGTGTGATTACGTGGACTGTCCAAATTATATGGGTACTTTTAAGTAAGATGCAAAGTCCCAGAGCCTTGTACATATACAGACTTCTCTTACGGTGCTATATTGTGAAACAGGCATATCTTTTCAAGCATTATTGACCATTTAAATATCCAAGCATTGTCATATTGGCTTTTACAGACGGATGGCGCGGGGTTCGATCTCCAGGGCTCAAAATAAGATGGTCAATAGAATAGTACTAGCCACAGGCGCACAATAGCCATGGTATGGGGATCACAAAATACTCCAACAGTTAACCCTGTAATCCGCAAAATTACAGAAGCAGTTGAGCTGGACAGCTAAGATTTACATACTCCTAAACACTTTCACAAGATCTGGGACCCATGGCTTAATGACCTTCAGGTACTATAAATCACATTGCACGATATCTACATTGACAGTAGGCTGGATAGGATTTGGGATGGCAGGAGACTATGGCATGGAGAAGCATCCTTTATTTGTTTCTTTATTTTCCCTTCTTTCCATTTCTTTTCATAAAAAAAACTTGTTTTCATTTTCGAACTAGCTGGAGTCCGGGTGCATAACCTAGGTCACATATCGAATACATGTCTATGATTAACATTTAAACACTACTGTTTACACACAGAGATCAAGGGTCGGAATGTTCATTTGGTTATCTGTGTGATTGTAATATCTGTTAGCTCCATAGAGCTTAATACTATGCACTTGTTAGACAAACTGCAGTCCACAGCAGAGTGGTCTAACAGTATTCTGTGTGTACTAGACGTGAAAAGGCTTACAATTATTTCCCTCAGTTTTCTATTCATGCCCCCTCCCCCCTTTAAAAGTGGGGAAAAAAAATTACTCCAGTTTTATCTCTCTCTGACCCTGTCTAAGGTAACCATTACCGATGATCTCGGCCAATCCAACAGGTCCAATAGAGAAGCACTGGGGTTGCTGCACATGTGCCAATAAACATCTCCTCATGCAATATACCAATGCATCTCTATGGGAAGCATTCGCCATTATAACATAGATCGTAAGGATGCTGAACATCGGCTCTCCATATATTGCAGGACTGTCATAGGGAGCACTTCTGTTGTCTCTCTCAGTGAAGGCCACTAAAAGTGTACCTAGGGACACACATCAACACAGTTTTTTCACAGAAAAAGCATTGCTTACAAATCAGAATGTGGAAGGACAGGCTTTCTGCATAGCTTAAGCTAGTGGTTCTGGTGCTAAGAGTGCCAATTTAGGGGCAGCAAACAAAATTAACTGCAGCTACATGGGAGTGTAACTCCCTCTGACCATTAGATTCACTTTATACACATATCCATACCTCCCAACACTGCAAATGGACAAAGAGGGACAATTCAATTTTTGGGATTTTAAATAGAGGTGTAGTCATGGGCAGGGCTATTCTAAGATCTTTTAGGTGACTTACTAATAATTTATGCAACTAAACTGTAATTAAGAGCAAGAACATTGTATCTTATTTACACAGACTGATTTCTAAAATCTTTTTATTGTATTTTAAAGACACATTGCAGTGTGTATCATTGCTGTTGAGCTCTCTTATACACTGAGCCAGACCAATAATATGGAGCTCTTAGAAAAGAGGGACAGAGGGATTGCTGCCAAAAATAGATAATGTCCCTCCTAAATAGGGATACTTATCAGGTATGATAACCCAGAAGGGTAAGATCAAAATGGGGAAAAAACTGCTTGTGGGACATATCCCAAATAGAACATTAAAAGACCACTATAGGCACCCAGACCACTACAGCTCAATGAAGTGGTCTGGGTGTCAGGTCCATCTAGGTTTAACCGGGCAGCTGAAAACATAGCAGTTTCAGAGAAACTGCTATGTTTCACTGAGGGTTAATCCGGCCTCTAGTGCACATTCGGCGCTGAAGTCGGCAGAGGGAGGAGTTTCCCAGCGCCGAGTGAGCCCGGTGCTGGACAAAGGTAAGTGACTGAAGGGGTTTTAACCCCTTCAGTCCAACGGGAGGGGGACCCTTATGTTGGGGGGGGGGGACCTAATGACCCTATAGTGCCAGGAAAACGAGTTTGTTTTCCTGGCAATATAGTGCTCCTTTAAGAAAAAGGTACAGTAAAATCACAAGTTGAAAAGCCTCTTTTTCCAACACCCTATGTTTTGTTTATCTTGGGTTATAAAAGTGATAGCTCCAATATCCAATTTAACCCCTCCCTCCACCCCCATTTGAAAGTAACACTTTTTTTTCCAAGATATATTTATCTATTTTATTTGCCTTCTGGTATAAAATGAATTCTAAGCTACTCTGTGTAGGCTTTGCCTCCAGTTTTTAAGTATGTCTGTTTGGGAATGTTACTGTTATGGGTTTGCTGACCCTTTAAAGATTAGACTGTGATGAGTGCTTAGTGCTATAAAGCGTTAAATCTGATTTCTGTATCCTATTTATGTTTTGTCCATTTGCTCCCTGTCATGTTGATTGGTGAGCTATTTTGATTTGTGACTTCTGGTGAATTTGGATATCCAAAGCAAAACAACATCTGGAAAGACTTAATGATGTGAGAAAATCAACAACCAGAGCCACAACTGGATTCAGAACCATGTGGGCTGGAGAAAACATGTAGCTTTTTCTGGAACTTTCTGCCCACAGCTGGATTTAGTATGTCTCATTACGTGATGTTTGTGACTCAGTTAATTGTATTTCTAGATGTGAGAAGTATTGAGTAATTTAATAATGTCTCTCTCAGCTACTTGCTAAATCACAGTGCTAGACAAACCCAGCATTTACAGGCATATCTGGTTAAAATCTTGACATAGACTGGGATACAATAGCGCTCACTTATCTCATGACTTGCATATCGATATGCATGGGACCGTTTGTATTTTCAATGAAAATTCCAAACACCATAATCACTAGATCATGTTGTAGTGATTATGGTGCAAGGAGAGCTCTGGCACCCAAATTGTAGAGAGTGTGCAAGTCTTTGTACAAACTGTGATTAATGCATAGCTTAAAGGGATAATATAGTGCCAAAGCTCTACTACTGGCACTATAGTGCCTTCTGTCTCCCCCTAACCGCCACCTGCCTGAGTGAAAAACCCTTTACTTACCAGCTCGCTGCACCTCCTTTGATGTCGCTTGAGAAGGAGACTCTAATGTGCCATGAGTGCTTGAGACTTCCCCATAGAAAAACATTAAATCAGTGCTTTCCTATTGGGAAATAGCTGACGTTGGATGTCCTCATGCAGAGCGTTAGGACGTCCAGCTTCAGTTACTGGACCAAAAGTCTGTTAAGTCTGTTCCGGAAGCACCTCTAGTGGCTGTCTGGTAGACTACCACTAGAGGCTGTCTAAGTGCTGCAATGTAAACATTGCAGTTTCTCTAAACGGTTTTACATTGCAGCACTAAGAGCAATCGGAACACTGTACCCAGACCACATCAATGCGCTGAAGTGGTCTTGGTGCCCATATTGTCCCTTTAACTTGTTGAATTTAATTTCCATGATTTTACATGACACAGAATTTTGAAATTTTTAGCTCAACAACAGCTTCAAGGCAGTTTAACACCCCTGCTCTAATGAGATAGAATACTGATTAAATAGGTTTAATGTAGACAGTACACTGATTGTAAATATTTTTTTAGACGATGCTACCTTTTTAAATAAGATTCAAAAGTTATATTTAGGGTGTGGATTCAATGAGTGCTATTCCTCCTGCTCCCAAACCAAATATTCCTATGAAAAATCAGAGTGGGATTTGACGAATATATATGGTTACGTACAAAAAGTCTATTACTTTGTAAGTATAATTACTGCAAGTTCTTGCACAACTTTAATCCAACTAAAGCAGCCCGAATAAACTGTAATATGCATCAAATTTATTATGGGGCATAACGGTGAGAATGTAGTCAACTTGTCCAGGAAGAAGTCTCCCATAAAAGATGAATCACCCGTCAGACTAGTCTCCTATATGAGGATGTTGTTACCACATATGAATCTAAGTGGTTATATCAAGGTAACCTTTTGAATAGCAAGCGAAAATACTAAGATGCATATAACGTTGACGATGCTCACTATGTATATTTAGTGACTATTAACAGCATTACAAAATATGTTCTTCACTCTTTTGATGGGTACCATTTAGATATGTCAAGAATTAAATGCCAGGCCAAGAAGTAAATGCTAGAGATAAACTTGGACTTTAGTTGCCTTTGTACGGTACTATCTTCAGTGATAAATGTTTTACACTCTAATAACCTTATCATGCGCTTCTCTTTCACTGTATAATTGTTCTCACAAATCATACTTGTTTCCAAAATATTTCTAAATTGATGATTAATACAGTGGCATTGACATTGGATAGAGAATAATTAAAAGTGATCTGAGCCATTGATGGCACGTACACTGCTAGCCCACCAGGGAGAAATTTTACAGAGAGACCATGTCATTGTGAAACCTGGCATGACCTACTTAAATTTGAAATCTTTCTTATTCTACATCAACACTACTAGTTTAAAAAAAAAAATAAAAAAAAAAAATAGTGGTGCAGATCTCTGGCCTGTAGAATTATACCTTGAGATTTTAAATCATACTGACTGACACACAATTTTATTAAAGACACGGAGGCTCCTATTATGCTGCACTCTTTCTTTATTTCCCTCAGCAGCAAAGAAACATTATTGAAAAAAACAAAAACTTTAAAAGCAGGTATAACATCATATAGGCAATGTCCGCCTAGTAACATGACCATCCAATCAGTGACATCCTTCCCCTATAGTGGGCGGAGCGTCGTTGACCATTTCCTCTTTCTTTGCTGCTTTCCCTCAGATAAGTACTCCTCTCTCAGCTCCCGGCTGTGGAATTCTGTATTTACTTAGAATTACATGCTACATACTGATTATATGCTTTGTATGCTAATTGTACATGCTTATTATATATATGCATGCTGATTGTGTGTGTGTGTATATGTGTGTGTATGTATGTATGTATGTATATATATATATATGTATATATATGTATATATATATATATATATATATACACACACACACACACTCTATCTCTCTGTATTGAAAAAAGACGTATGATTGGTTGGATCAGTACGTGATTCAACCTGAGAATGTATTGCTTGTAAAAGGAAACACTATCCTTATGTATGTGTCGTAGTTATAACACAGAAATGAGGCCTGTAATGTAGGCTGAGTCTATTTGAATGAATGGATAAATATGGCAGACCCCTGAAAGCGTGGGAGTCAAAAATGATCCATACAGATAAGTGAGCTTGGTTTTGTATGGACATAATACAATACTGATAGCTTTTTAAACAGTAATAGAAATAATCTGTCTATTTATTTAAACCAGCAATTCGTTAACCGAATGTTATATACATGAAATGGTGAAAGTAATCCACGAAAGGATTATGCGTAATACATAGAAATAAAACCGAAACCCAATGTGAGGGAAAACAGAAGTTGGAACGAATAGTTTAAACGTATGAATTTTATGCAAACCGCAAGCGTGTTTGAGCGTATCATGAAAAAGTGCCGAACGGCAAAACAACCGAAATGATGATCTGTTTCAATGTGACATAGAATAGTTATATGCGAAATGACTATTTATACGAATATACCGATTAGCCGAATGACCGTATGAATGAAAACCGCGAATGGCTTGTACAATTTGTGACATATCAGGGGAAAAAAAATAAAGCGAGGACCCATGCTGTACCGTACGCCGTGGGAACCGATCCTGGCGTGACAGGTAGGTCTGACTTACGGTTTAAGAGTCCCTGGGACGCGATCTACGACAAAGACCGGGGTCAGAAGAAGCTGGACGGACGGAAAAGGCCTGAACAGGATTCCTGGACACAGCTTGCTGCGGTAAAAACCTTGTGGATACTGAAAACCAAGATGGCGTCTGAGAGAACCTGGAAGTGGATCCTCATTCAACGCTGACCTTGAACGGTAAGGAGCAAGGTAAGGGGTGTGCCTTAAGTAGGCTAGGAGTGTATACCAAGCACCTCCCACAAATCCAGGCAAATTGCCTTAAAATATATATATTTTATTGTGATTATGTATCCTATTATACTGTGATGTGATTTGACTTGCGTGGCTTTTATTGTGCCTTTAGGATTTAGGGCTTTGTTCTGACCCAGTGTGAAGTTTGCCCACAGTGTGTCTTCCCACCACTTTTCTTTTGTGCTACGTTGCTCCCTGGGACTTGGCAGATCCTGGTGAGGCTTTCTCTGTGTAACCGCCGCGGTCGTGGCTCCCGGAACTGCCGCAATCAGCCGAGCATGCGCTTCCCGTCAGGGACGCCTCCGGCAGCCATCTTGCGGCTCGGCTGCTATGTCCACGCTCGGTTAACAACAAAAAAACGAGCATTGTCTCAGCCACCGGGCCCATTACTCGTAAGTTGGCCCTATACCACAGCACATATTCTGCCAGCTACCTCGCGGCTAACTTTTAAAGCCGCAGCAAGTATATTTTCACTCAAATTTTCACCGGAGGCCATTTTAAACGATGCTTTCGCGCCCTTTTCTTCCGCGACAAGCCCACTCCGTCCCTTGAATCGGAGTTGGTCTCCAGTTTTATGGCGGACGGTCCCCCTTTTCTCCTGCTCCCATAACTTTGATAATAATCTAGTGTGTACTACTAATTGCCTGCTTTTATCATTTTACTGTTATTTTACTTGCAATATGCAGTCCTCTAGTGACTTGCCTGGTCCCTCAGGGACACAAACTAACACTCAAACTGCCTTGGGTATTCCTCCTGTAGCTTCTGGGGATGAGGTGGATTTCCCAGCATCAGAGGAAATCCAAGCCATTATGGATACTACTGTGTCCAAGTCTCTATCCAAAGCCTTGGCATCTGCCATGGACATTATGTCCTCCTCTATCTCCAAATCATTTACCCAAGCACTAATACAGGCCCAATTAATGGTCCCTCCGACCGCTATGCCAGTCGCGATACCATCCGTTTCTCAACCCCCATCGCCCAGCCGCAAAGCCAAAGTCAAGCACTCCTCCAAACTAATGATGGACAGCATAACACCTGTCATAGATGGCGCGAATATTGAACCACCACGCAAAAGAGCCTCTAGCCGGGCAAAAGCGGCTAGACACTGGAAGTGGGCTAAAGCCCAGCCTGATACCACTGAGTCAGAACTCAGTTCAGATGAGGAGAGTGCCCCTACCCTAGACTCAAATCAGTCTAATGATTTGTCCGACTTAGATTCGGAGTATGGAATGGTTGAGGAGTGTAATCCCTCCACTAAAATACTTACCACTGGCACGTCCAGTTCTGACTTAAACAAAGAGGGTAAAATCCTTGACCCGCAGGGTGAACCGTTGTTCGAACCTGATGACTTACGTCACCCCCGCTCTGCGGAATGGTCACCGGCTGAGCATGTGGCGCAATACGTGGCATCCCGGCTCCGTAAGCCTTTGGACAAGGCAACATGTAATACGCTAAAGGCTGAATGCCCATGTCCCACCGTACCAGACGAGGTCTGTAAGACACCCCAGGTTGACCCCAAAATCATACAATTTTTAAATAAAACTGGTTGGAAACCTAAGAAAGGTCTAGACTTTTCACTCTATAATTGCCAAGATAAAGTCTTGGATATTTTAGGTCCAGCGAGCAAAATTTTTTTAAGCCATGGAAGAATCCTTGGCTCAAGACGAAGCCTTATATCGCCTCACTATTAGAGGTTGGATTCAGAGAGTGATCTGCCTCATAGGCAATGCCAATACCACTCTTGCTACAGAGCGCCGCAAATCTATCTATCTTAATTAAAATAGAACCCAAACTTGTAAATATGGCAATTACTGAGCCAGGAGCCCAAGCAAAAATGGTATCTTTTTGTAGAGTCTTTTGTAAAAGACCTGGGCTCCTCTGTCCAGACATTCATGGCCTTAGACAAGGCACAATCAAATCTAAAACGGGTGTTGCAAAGTTTTTTGTTGGGCCTGGCAGAACAAGGGGCTGTCTGTCCGGCAGAGTCCATAGAGGTTCGCGCCCGAACTGAGGCTCTTATACGGGGAGACCCCACCCCCTTTCCCGACCAGAGGTCCGCTCCAACCTTCTTCCCCCAACGAGGCAGACCTTGGGTGTCGAGAGGTGAACAAGGCACTCCTTCCGGAAGACGTCCTTACTGTAAGCTACCTTTCTCAATTTTCTTCACATGTGGCGATAGGGGGCAGACTCACACATTTTTCCCATGTCTGGGATCCAATTACATCAGATGCTTGGATTCTCAGGGTAGTCCAAGGATATCTAATAGATTTTGTATCCCTGCCTACTCAAATCTCACCACCCAAGGAGATTGTTTGGTTTTTGTTTTTTTTTCCAATAGACACGACCCTCGTCTCCGAGGAAGTTTGAGACTTGGCACTCAAAGGTGCTATCCAAGAAATCCCGATGTATACCCTGCGTTTTGTGAGCAACCTATTTATTGTCCCCAAGAAAGGGGGCGGATCCCGCCCAGTTATCAATCTCAAACACTTAAACATCTACGTAACCTACCATCACTTCAAGATGGAAGGCATTCATTGCTTAAGAGATTTGCTCCAGCCAGCGGACTGGATGGTCAAACTCAACCTAAGAGACGCTTACCTCACGGTACCCATTGCGCAGGTGCACCAAAACTTCCTGCAATTCACATGGCATGGAAGGAAGTGGCGGTTCCGCTGCCTTCCCTTCGGTCTCTCTTCCACACCTTGGTGTTTCACCAAGCTCATGAAGCCCATCATCGCTCTTCTACACAGTCGGGGCATTCGTCTAATCATATACTTAGACAACATCCTGCTGTTATCCCAGTCAGTATCACTACTTCATATTCACCTCGGTTGTAACACAACCTTGCTACAGAATTTGGGCTTCATTATAAATTGGGAAAAGTCCATCCTAGTCCCCACTCAACAAATAGAGTTCCTAGGACTCTTGGTGGACTCACACGCAAACCTTGTATTTAGAAATATCAAGAAAGAAATAAGAAAAGGTTCTTACCTCTCCGCAAATATCTCTCAAACATCTGGCCCGCATGATCGGGCTCCTAGCAGCCTCCATACAGGCCATATTTCCGGGCCCCCTTCATTACAGAGCCCTCCAGCGCCTACAGGCGTCATACCTCAGAGGCGGCGCCTCATACGAGGATACTCTGACCCTAGACACAGAAGCGAAAAAAGAACTCCACCGGTGGCTCCTACACATGGAGGCATGGAATGGCAGAGCCATCTTCGGCTCAGCACCAGATGTGGTCAAAGAGTCGGATGCGAGCTCTTACGGTTGGGGTGCGCGCTACGGAGATATCTCCACAGGCGGACGATGGTCGGAAGCGGAATCCACGCTGCATATAAATTACCTAGAACTCCTAGCAGGGTTCCTTTGCGATTCGCCGACACTGTCCCAGTGTTCAATCTTACTGAAGATGGAGAACATATCGGCTGTCCGTTATATCAACCACCTCGGTGGTACAAGATCCAAAATTCTAGCGAATTTGGCTCGAGACTTTTAGCAGTTTTGTCTGCAACACAACATGGCTCTCAAGGCGGAATATTTGCCGGGGTAGTCCAACACTACGGCAGATTGGTACTCCCACCACCTGCGGGATTCCAGCGACTGGCACCTCGATCCCCAAATCTTCCAGCGCATTTGGGATCTGTGGGGTTCTCTGGCAATAGACTTATTTGCCTCTCGCTTGAATACCCAACTTCCGACCTTCAGTTGGAGGCCAGATCCTACGGCTTCAGCTATGAATGCATTCTTCCAAGACTGGTTAACCACCAGGAACTATGCATTCCCTCCATTTGCCCTCATCCCTCGTTGTCTCCTCCATCTACAGCGCCAATTGGGCTGCCTGGTTGTAATAACCCCCCTATGGCCGTCACAGCCCTGGTTTCCTCTGCTGGAGATGGCTATAGATCACCCACAGCTCTTTACAAATGCACAATCTCTCCTACGGGACCCCGATGGGACCCCCACCCCCTGATCCTTCAGGGTCTCCTCCGCCTCATGGCGTGGTTGATTTCCGGGGACCCTGGTCAATCGAGGGAGTTTCACAATCGACTCTCTGACTTCTCAAGGGCGCATGGGCACCCGGCAAGAGGCAGTCTTACAAGTCTGCTTGGCGCACATGGGATGGTTGGTGCGTGGCACAGGGTGTGGATCCCCTATCAACTCCTGTGACAACAGTCCTACAATTCTTAACCTCCCTTTATGATAACGGGAAGGCTTAAAGGACGGTAAACCTTGACCGCTCAGCTATCTCAGACGGCCATACTGGCATTGATGGGGCCCTGATAGGACGACACCCATTGGTTTGTCGACTTCTCTGAGGCATTCGCTTCGCAAGGCCACCCCTACCTCACTAGTCCTCCCTATGGGACATCTCCCTGGTATTAAAATTCCTAACTAGGTGGCCAGACGAGTCTTTATTCTTAAAACAACTCTCAGCTAAATTAGTTACACTGTTGTGCCTAATCTTATGCAAAAGAGTGTCAGACGTTAGAGCTCTCGATGTTAATGCCTGATCCTTCACCCCAGAAGGAGTCGTTTTTGACATCTCAGGAAGGACAAAATCATCCTCCAGTCCTGTATTCAGCTTTTCCCACGAAGCCGCTCCTTTGCCCAGTAGCGTGTCTTAGGGCGTATGAAGCTCGTACTGCATCCCTTCGGACTGGGTCGGACCCCCAGCTCTTCATCTCCTTCCGTAAACCGCATGCTCTGGTATCCTCTCCTACCTTGGCCCGCTGGGTCAAATGGCTCATGTCCTTGGCAGGTATTGATACCTCCATATTTTCTCCTCATTCAGTTCATGGGGCCATGGCCCCTAAAGCCTCCTTTGCAGGTTGCAGTTTGGAAGATATATTGAAGGCGGCTGATTGGTCTGCAGAATCTACTTTCTGTAATTTCTATTTCAAACCAATCCCAGCATTTCGCAGAAGCCGTGATATCACAGCTTTGAAATCGCATAATAGGAGCCTCCGGGTCTTTAATAAAATTCAAGGATTTTACAATTATCATGACGGAAAGTCATGATTTCATTAAAGACACGGAGGCGAGTATTATCCCGCCCACCCTCGAGCAGCTCGGAGGAAGGTCGAGGTACGTCTTCAGGCCTCTCCAAGGTAAGTTCAACTTGGCGGTATTGATGCCATCACATACCTACATCGCTCTAGTACATTATCTAATGATGGGACTTTATTGCCACTGTTGTCCTCAGATTGGTAGTTGCCTCTTACTACTGTTATGAAAGGTTGTCACTGTTTAGTCAGTCATTTAGACCTATACAAATGCGGACAACCCATAATTTTAAGAAATTACCATATTTTCTTGTTTCTTTAGTGTGACCTGGTAGAAAGACCTCCTGGAATCAAATGCCTTGTTACGGCTCGTTTGGTTTACTTGGTTTTCCTGTTCCGAGTTTGTTATTCTTCGGGATTCGCAAGAAAGAGGAAATGGTCATCAACGCTCCGTCTACTATAGGGGAAGGATGTCAGTGATTGGATGATCATGTTACTAGGCGGACATTGCCTATATGATGTTATACCTGCTTTTAATGGTTTTTTTTGTTTTTTTTTTCAATAATGTTTCTTTGCTGCTGAGGGAAATAAAGAAAGAGTGCAGCATAATACTTGCCTCCGTGTCTTTAATAAAATCATGACTTTCCGTCATGATAACTGTAAAATCCTTGAATTATCCACAATATATTAGTGTCTAGAAGCTCATTGGTTTAATTGTTACATTAAATAGTTTGGGATTACTAGCTTATGTCAACTTGTATCTATCTACTAGATTGCACCTTTGGCTTGCCTCAAGGAAGCCCCCCTTGAGGAATGTGAGATGGGGACATGATTGCTGCCAACAGGATAAGATCTTGAGGGGGACAAGTGCAACAATGTTGCAAGTTCCCAAGTTTGATACGGTGTCAACAGGGAGTCTCACTTGCCAGACAATGCAGGTCAATTGAGTGAAGGCTAATTGTAATATCCACCCACTGTGTTTCGTTGCTTATTTGGTGTGTCTTGTTTTTTTTTTTTGTTTTTTTTCCCTCTGTTGTCTGTTTCTTGTTGTTGTCACAGCTTGGTGGATAACCTGGCCAGAACATAAGAGAATGTTGCATTGTGTTGCCCTGCCTGGGATTGGGGAGTTGCAGTCTGCTGAAGGCAGTATTTGGTATTGCCACAAATGGCGGACATGTGTTTAATTTTTGCTGGCTTGAGAATACATTTTCAATTAAGCTGAGGTAGTTACTCTAGCCACCATTTCTGAGTTTCTGTAGTAGCTGTGTTTTATAATTTTTTATTATTTTTGTTTAATATTTTTTTTTAGGGGCATTGGGCTATGATATATTTTCAGGGTAAGGGAGGGTCAGCAGTCATATGACTTCAGCCTCTTTCCCTATTTTATCAATGCAATGTTTTGTGGACCCAGGACATACTTGAAAATGAGAGAAATCTCAATGTATCTTTCATAGTAAAATATTTTATAAATAACATTTGTTTCCCACGAGGCTGCTGTAATATATCACTGGACTTGTCTTCTTATCTAGAATTTCCTCACTGGTTATGGTGAACATCACAGCACACCTCATCAGGCCATCATTTGTAGGACGATACTTGGCATTCCTCAGGCTGCTGAAGCTTCAGTGGAACATTTTCTACAGTATTTGAAGTTTTCTGATAAAGGTTAAATTAAGGCAAAACTACTATTAACATTATTACTTGTCTCACTGATCTTTTGATTTCTAGTCCATGAAATCTATTCATTAAAGTAACAATCAGAGCACAGTAATGACTAGAGCACACTATTCTTATGCGAGGAATGCTTTGACACCGTTCCACGGTAAGTTGTCAAGTCAGTGTTCGTATAATTTCACACCTTGCCTGGGCCCCCTCCCTGATGAATAAGGGTTAAAACCCTCGGTGCTGGGTCACGGCTCCATCTACTCTGGTGTCATTCGACTATTGGGCGCTAATGCACTTGCTTGGCGAGTGCATTAGGCCTTTCAATAGGAAAGTATTGAATCCATGCTTTCTTATAGGGATATAGCTGACGCTGGATGTCCTCATGCAGAGCGTGCATATCTGTTTGTAATAAGCATACTCTGAAAAATTTGTTCTGGGAGCTCAATTACTTTGGAGCTCTGTGATGACTCTGATCTGCTGAACATTACTGTGAGTTTTACTGTGGATCTCTCTTATCATACACAAATTCACCACTCATTTTTATGAGCTGCTATGAAGTCAGGTACATATTTATACAGCCATCCCCATCATCATTCACACAGCGTCAGAAAGGTTGCAACTGCGATCAGACCCTGGAGTTCTACCTGTCATAGGGGGCCCATCAGGGATGAAAATTGCAGGCAGTTTACTACTTAATTTGCTTGCCTGCTGCTACCCTGCAAAGAGTCCAGTGCAGGCTCTACTCCCTAGCCAGGTCCCTGGTGGTCCAGTAGTAGAACTGATGCTATGCAGTGTGCTCCCCTTCTGGTAACCCTCTATGAAATCTTCTCCCTTGCAGATCTGGCATTCAGGTAGTCAGGCAGAATGCAGTTGAGAGGATTCTCAGCCTTTTCACTACTGAGTGCCTGAAACGTGGCAGAGAGGATATCATAGACAGGGGCGGGCTGGGCCGGGGGGCAGGGAGGCAATTGCCCCCCAGGCCGCCCTAAAATCTGTTGGGACCGGCCGCTGCAGGGCCGGCCCTTTAAATGCTGCAGCCGCCTGAGCGCTCTGTTAAGAGCCTCAGGCGGCTGCGGCTGCTCCTCACTTGCCCTCCCCTGTAGCGTGGCCGAGCTGCTTGCTGGTCCGCGGTGCCCGGCCGGACTGATAGGAAGGCGCACGCTGAGTGTGCACTTCCTGTCAGTCCGGCCGGTTACAGGAAACAGAAACTCCAGTTCCGCGCGGAGTTTCTGTTTCCTGTAACTGGCCGGACTGACAGGAAGTGCACACTCAGCGTGCACCTTCCTATCAGTCCGGCCGGCACCGCGGACCAGCAAGCAGCTCGGCCACGCTACAGGGGAGGGCAAGGGAGAGGTGAGGAGGGGGGGGAGAAGTAAGAGGGAGTAAGTGAAGGAGGGGGGAGTAACAGAAGGTGGAGGAGGGGGAGTAAGAAGAAGAAGGGGGGTTTGAAAAACGGGGGGTAAGAAGAACAAGGGTGGAGTAAGAAGAACACAAGGAGGAGGGGGAGAGTAAGAGTGAGGAGAAGGGGAGATGAGGAGAAGGGGAGATGAGGAGAAGGGGGGGCACTGAGAAGAACACAGGGAGGGTGGGTAGTGAGGAGAACACAGGGAGGGTGGGTAGTGAGGAGAACACAGGGAGGGTGGGTGGTGAGGAGAACACAGGGAGGGGGAGGTGAGGAGGACACAGGGAGGAGAGGACACTACGCGCACACACAATGCATCCCTACACACACACAGAAACACAACATGCTTCCCTTACACACAGAGAAACACACAATGCATCCATTACACACAAACAATGCAACACTTACACACAAAGACAATGCATCCTTTGCACACATACACAGAAACACATAATGCAAACACTTACACACACACTGCTTTTCTTACATACACACAGAAACACAATGCATCACTAACACACACTCAATGCACACACTTACAGACACACACCTTGCATCCCTTATGCATACAAACACAGATTCACACAATGCATCCCTTACACACAACCAGAAACACACAATACATCCCTTATACACAAATACACACTGCTTCCACTACACACAAACACACTGCATCACCTGCACAAACTGGTATCCCTATACACTACATACCATAAGCACACATATTAGATCCTCTACAACAGGGGTTCTCAACCCAGTCCTCAGGACCCGCTACCAGTCCAGGATTTGGGGATTACCTGGGTGTGTCTCAGGTGTTTAGAAAAAGGGAAAAAACACCTTAGACACACCCAGGTAATCCCTAAACCCTGGACTGGTAGGGGGTCCTGAGGACTAACGTTGAGAACCCCTGCTCTACAATAACACATAACACATCCCCTACACACTCCACTCCCTGTGAGCGAACTCATGGGTGGGTGGAACATATAAGTGGACTTATGAGTGGGCCTTGTGGGCATACTCACCGTCAGGCCCTGGGGCCCAGACCTTGAGCTGTATAAGGGGCCCTCCCAAAAATGGAGCTGCTTCCAATTCTCCCAGAACATTGAATTTTGTGACCACAGTTGCAAACAGCCTCCAGAGATCCTGTTCTACACCAGACCAGTGGAGCCAAACTGCAGCCCATCATCATCCTCATTTGGTTGTAAGTAGGCAATCTAGTATATTATTAGTGACACTAATCTATAATTTTCATTACATTAAAGGGACACTATAGTCCCCAGAACGACTGGAGCTTAATGAAGTGGTTCTGGTATCTATAGGCGGTCCCTGCAGGCTTTTTAATGTAAACACACACTGTGGGCAGCACTGGCGTTAGTTCGTATGGCAGCTCATATAGGTGGGGCATTGTGATGTCACATGGGGGGCGGCAAATACAGCTGTTCCCCATGCAGCCACAGGTGCCACTGTGCTGAGAGATTGTGATTACTCTTCACTTCCTCCCAGCTTACAGAGCAGCGCATGGGAGAGAGAGGGGAGGAGGCATGATTTAATCTTACAACAAATCCAGTAAGCAAATCTTTATAAATTTGGGTGGGATCAGATCTGTTTCCACAGTTTATTGGTGTTTACTCTGCTGTCTGTATTAATATTGAGGGATTTCTAAGTAGTAACATCAGTGTGTGTCAGCAGGGCCAGCCATTGGGGTGTGCACGCTGTGCGGTCACGCAGGGTGCCATCACAACAGAGGCGCCCGGCGGACAACACAGCTCACAAGTTGGGGACACCAGCCTATTCAATTTAAACGATTCGCTGGTGGTCCACTGGTGCGCACCAGCAGTAGGTGCAGTCAGATTATAGCATCTCCCTCGTGGTTCCGACGCTCAGTTAGTGAGTCAGAGCACAGGCTCAGAGATTCTCAGCCTGCGCTCTGACAACATTGAAAGTCAGAGCCGTGAAGGAGCGGGTATGGCAAAGAGCTACTGATTAGCATAACATCAATATCAGTTATAAATCCAGGAAAAGGTGGGCACCATTGCACTGATTTGGTGGTGCAATGGGCCTCTTGACTGGTTTTGCCCCCCAGGCCTAAGGCTGCCAGCCCTCCCCTGATCATAGAGGGCTACTGGAAGGGGTTCACAGCATCAGTTATACCACCGGGGAACGTATAACCGCAACTGCCTACCATGGACCACCATGGTGGGCAGTACCGTGGTGATTCACCATGCAAGGGATGGAGGCAGTGCACAGACAGGCTCAATTGGACTGATAGACAGGTGTTTCTATATGTGTCAGTGCATATATGTCAATGTTTGTGTGTATCAGTGTATGGATCTGTGCACGTGTGTCAGTGTATAAATCTGTGCATGTTTATTAGTATGTGCATCTATGCATATGTGTCAGTGTTTGTATCTATACATGTGGATGTGTGTGTGAATCTTGCATATATGTCAGTGTGTCAATCTCTGTGTGTATCTCTTGTAGTTTATCTGTGTGGCAGTGTACGTGCGTTTCTGCGTTTTTGCAATGTGCCCAGTGCATATGTATTTGTGAATACTCATTTACATGCAATAACCAATTTTACACATAAAACATTCCTGCATTCAAACGCCAACACTACACACAAACCGTCCCCCTGCATTCAAACATCAGCATTATACACAAATATACAAACATTCTGCCAAAAATATACTATATACAAAACCATGCTTACATACTGCATACAAATAAACCCTGCAAGTATGGGTAAATAGTAGGTCCACAGCTGGTAACATCATGGTATTTGTACAGCAGCTGAGGATTTATTGACCACCTCTGCTCTATAGTGTGTGTGTGTGTGTGTGTAGGAGGGGTTTGACATATTCTACACCAGAGGTTTCTAGTTACGCTCCTGCATACATATGTAATTAACAGTACAATAACTCACCCCCACCCACACACACATACAAATACACATACTTAGACATGAGAAACTAAAACACAATCATAAATATATTGACAAGCATACAAAGACTTGCGATAACAATCATACACTGACACTCGAGCAGGCACTCGCACACTAACACTCGTGTCTGTGTATCAGTGTCAGTTTTACTATCCAATCTTGTATCTGTAATTCAATCCATGTGTCCTGTGGTGCAACTGCAATCTGACAGCACCTGGGTTCAAGTACCAAGTAGCATATCCTCACAACAATCAGGATATGGCATCACATCCTGGCAACACGTTTTAATAAAATATATGTGCGCTTAGGGGACTCATCGGGTGTTAAGTCTGCAATGGCACAATGCCTGGCACCCAGCATGTCTTTGTGTCAGTGCTGCAAAATTATGGCTGTTACACCCATCGGGCCACTCAGTGCAAAGCATAGGGGCAGAGCTCTGTCCAAATGTTAGTCCCGAGTGGATCTCTGTGATTCGCTTCACACCTTGCTATGAGGTATATTAGTCTGGAACCTCATTTTTAAACTGAATGAGTTTTATTTCTATTGTGAAATCTTGGTGTCAAAATAATGACTATTGTACTGGCTTGAAGAATAGATTAGTGATTTAAAAAAAAATAGTTACATTTCAATGCATGATGATGATGATGTATTTTTTTATTTATTTATTTTTATTCTTTTGTTTTGCTTTTATTTAGGTTGATTGTGACAGATCTGTGACTGGATCAGTCTATGAATATGGTGCACTCTCCCTGGAAGGTAGTCAGTATATCCCGTTCTCCAAGTACCAAGGGAAGATGATCCTGTTTGTGAATGTTGCAACGTACTGAGGGCTCACCATGCAGTACCTAGGTATAACATTATATTTAATGTACTATAGTTTCCAGAATTGTCAAGGCTAAACATTCCAACACACAAAACCAAAGCCTTATGAGTATCTTATACTATTTAAAAATATATTTAAAAAAAGCATTGCTGGTCCTTAGGGTGGCCGAGCTTAACGTATAAAAGTGTAGAATACATACCATTCGGGTCGTCTAAACCCATCACCATGGCAATGTATAAATAAGAGAGTGAGTGGTATGCAAATATGATCGCTCATGTGAAGTGTAAGCGATGAGGAAGTGACTATGTGTATACGATCACTTAAATAGGCATATCAGTAATATATAGAAAGTCCACAGAATATTTTGCCAGTACTGCTGTGGAAAATCCAGTTGCTCTTGTGCAAATTGTAAACGTGCAGCAATGTTTCGTTTGGACAGCAGTGGCTTCTCTGTGGTATCCTCCCATGAAATCCATTCTTGTTTAGTGTTTTACGTATTGTAGATTCGCTAACAGGGATGTTAGCATTTGCCAGTGACTTTTGTAAGTCTTTAGCTGACACTCTAGGAGTCTTCTTCACCTCATTGAGCAGTCTGCGCTGTGCTCTTGCAGTCATCTTTACAGGACGGCCACTCCTAGGGAGAGTAGCAGCAGTGCTGAGCTTTCTCCATTTATAGACAATTTGTCTTACCGTGGACTGATGAACAGCAAGGCTGTTGGAGATACTTTTATAACCCTTTCCAGCTTTATGCAAGTCAACAATTCTTAATCGTAGGTCTTCTGAGAGCTCTTTTGTGCGAGGCATCATTCACATCAGGCAATGTTTCTTGTGAAAAGCAAACCTAGAACTGGTGTGTGTTTTTTATAGGACAGGGCAGCTGTAACCAGCACCTCCAATCTCATCTCATTGATTGGACTCCAGTTGGCTGACATCTCACTCCAATTAGCTATTGGAGATGTCATTAGTCTAGGGGTTCACATACTTTTTCCACCTGCACTGTGAATGTTTACATGGTGTGTTCAATAAAAACATGGCAACATTTCATTCTTTGTGTGTTATTAGTTTAAGCAGACTGTGATTGTCTATTGTGACTTAGATGATCAGATCACATTTTATGACCAATTTGTGCAGAAATCCATATCATTCCAAAGGGTTCCCATACTTTTTCTTGCAACTGTATATAGTCCTATTAAAGAGCCAGCGTAATGCTCAGGATTAGATTTCTTTGGTCCCTGTATTCTGGTCTCTGGATACATTAACCCCTTAAGGACACAACTTCTGGAATAAAAGGTAATAATGACGGAATAGTTCCATCATGTGTCCTTAAGGGGTTAACTCGTTGTTTGTTGTTGTTGTATCTTTTTTGGATGTGGCTTATCTCTGGAATAGTAAGAGCCGCATTGCTCCAATTCTATGTTGTATTTGGCAAATGTACAAGTGATATTAATACATATATAGACTGGGTCCCATATTTGTTAACGCCAAACAAAGGAGGGATTACTCCTCTATCTTATACATGCCCCCAAATAGTCTGTTAACCCCTTAAGGACACAACGTCTGGAATAAAAGGGAATCATGACGGAATATTTCCGTTATGTGTCCTTAAGGGGTTAATAAGTGTGATGATACGGTCCTGGCATCTCTGGCTCTGAAGTTGGAGTAGTTCAGGCCTGGTATCGCGCGTGCCAATCTTTGCATTAGCCTGTACTTTTCCACTAGTGAATGTAGCATCTCTCCTAGCTGGCAAATCAGTTGTAAGCGATGCGGTCCTGGCGTCTCTGTTACGATAGGCATAATAGTTTGGTCCTTTTATCACCTTCGGGAAATTTCGTTTGCTTGTCTGGTGAATTTGTACGCTGAGCACTAGGACTCCGGTACTTGAGTTTCTAAGTTCCCGGCAAAGCAGGATACACTGCAGTTGCTCCGGGTATTACAGGATATTCTATCTAACTAAAAGCTGTTGATGATTTACCTATGAGTGATCGCACTATAGTAGATCTTCGATAGTTACAACACAGAAAGAGACAAGGCAACTTCTTTAAACACTTTATGGATTTTTGTATACAAAAACAATCAACAATTCAGAAAGTACAAAATACACTTAAAGACTTACACGATGCAATAGGACAAAATTACATTTATAGACAGACCATTGAGGAGAGGCCTGGGAAAACTCAACACCGCAATCCAACGAGTATAGACACAGGATTAGAACCACTGGCTGTTTATATTCTGATTTGCTACTCAGGATCTATTTTTTCAAACGCTAAGATTTATTTTGAGCCAGGATTTGCTATAGTTTTGTTTCCCTGTGACTTATAAAGAAATATTTCCATTTTTAGTTGAAATGTGACTTGTGTTACCACCGTGTCTAGAGTAAATGGTGTAGATACTTTCCAGTTCTGTGCAATAATTATTTTAACTGCACCCATAAAGTGAATAAATATAAAAGCTTTTTTACTTTGTAGTTGCATGTAAGATAGCATTATCTTGTGCTCTAGGGATCTTTTTTTTTTTTTTTTTTTTAACCAAATTCTCTGTCAAAAACCTTGTTCCAAAGATCCTTCACGATGTCACACTCCCACCAGATATGCATATAGGAGCCATGTCTCTTGTTACAGCACATTGGAGAGCATGCTGTAAAATCAAACTAAAATGAACTGCTTTATTGCATGAGCACACAGCTTTTCTACATTTACAGGCATGACACATTTGTAGGTACAGTACTTACAGTGGGGAGATGGTCAGAGCCAGCTCTTGCAATACAATGGCTCTCCTTGACCATCTCACATTAAGCTTATAATAGGCAGGAAGTTACACTGTTGACTCAGGCCAACCTCATACTGTGCTGGCCATACATCTTACAACGTCTTGCTACGTACATTTCCTAATCCCATCAGATATCCTAGCAGCTGAGGCCATCTGAGACCAAGAGTAACTGAACACGTTGCATATGTATTATTATCATTATTAATATAGTGCCAACTTAACATGGAGTGTTTTACAATAACCAGCATAGCTGTTCCATTTCCTTCTTGTAATCCTACATGTAATAAGGTAGAACACAGTCCTGAGCTCACCATATATCTGCCCTGTTTCTGTGAGCCTTCTAAACTACACACTCTAGTTCTTCTCCTGCACGCATTCTATCGCTAGTGATGGGAGCTCAGTGGCGCTGTGAGTTCTCAAATGGAGAAAAGGGAAATAGGGCAAATAGAACATTCATCACAATAAGCATGAAGATACGGTTGAAACATTTCTGTGTAATTTGCACAGTAGCTGATCTACTAAAGATGGCTTGCTGAGGCCCTTTTTCTCATGCACATCATCTCAAATTTTCTGTCGCCTTCTTTGAATCCTTCCCATATGGTGGAACTCATTGCATTTTCATTGGATGTCCATCTAGTCATCAGGCCCCTGTGCAGTGCAACAGCTTTCAGATGGGGGGTGGGAAGTGTAATTGTCCTCATTCTCATCCCACTCATCTGCAGACTACTTTAATTCTTCCCAATTTGGGTAGTTTCATCCATTTTACAGATTCTCCATTTTTGCATTGGATAACTAAATTCTACTTCTTATAGTAAGATGGAGATTTTCAGTTTTGTCCTGGCGTCAGAAGCCAAATTTGCACAGAACTTACATTAGCTCACCTGAAACTTTCTTCTGGGATGGCTTGTGATGCTGCCGGAGGTGGTGTTAAAGGGTTAATCTCTGTATGTGCAGTATTTTTAAATATGCTGCCTAAGGTGGAGCTGAGGGGTTAATCTTTGTATATGCTGCAAAACTTTAAATCAATGAAGTGGTTGTGGTGCATGGAGTAAACCTTTAAACATATTTACAGTTTTTAAGTTTTTTGCTTCATCTGATGTGTATGAGAAGACTCTCTATTCCCCCTACTCGTCGATCTTTAAAAAATTGCCATTTAGTGTATTCTTTGTAGAAACGAAATAAACTGAAATGTACATGTGAAAAAATAGGAGACGTGTTCTGTCAGTTTGTTTTCATAGTCGTGTGTGCAGTGGGAGTCACCTGATTTCAGTTAATGGTTTGTTCGGTACATTTATCAAAATATTCATTTTGCAAATGCTAATCATTGTTCCTGTAATATAGTACAGAATGAAAGTGGAACTGAATTAAAATATCAGTAAGAAAAAATGTAAAGTACAATGAGACAGAGTTTCCCAAACCAGGATGTTTATGGAAAACACTATAAATCCAAAAGTATGATATGAAAGGGTAGAAATAAATACATTTATTAAGCCGTTGCATTAAGGGGGAAAAGGTCACTATCTAATATTACATTAAATAACAGAAGCTGGTGAAAGATAAATGTACTCTTAACAGTTAAATGTTTTCACTTTAGTTGACGTTTATATTATATATGTAATCATATAAATACACTGTTAAAAAAAATAAAGGGAACACAAAAATACCACATCCTAGCTCTGAATGAATTAAATATTTTTCTGAAATACTTTGTTCTTTACATAGTTGAATGTGCTGACAACAAAATCACACAAAAATTTAAAATATTGAAATCAAATTTTTCAAACCATGGAGGTCTGGATTTGGAGACACACTCAAAATTAAAGTGGAAAAACACACTACAGGCTGATCCAACTGTGATGTAATGTCCTTAAAACAAGTCAAAATGAGGCTCAGTAGTGTGTGTGTGTGTGGCCTCCACGTGCCTGCCTGTATGACCTCCCTACAACGCATGTGCATGCTCCTGATGAGGTGGCGGATGATCTCCTGAGGGATCTCCTCCCAGACCTGGACTAAAGCATCTGCCAACTCCTGGACAGTCTGTGGTGCAACGTGACGTTGGTGGATGGAGCGAGACTTGATGTCCCAGCATATGGTCTCACAAGGTGTTTGAGGATCTCACCTCGGTACCTAATGGCAGTCGGGCTACCTCTGATGAGCCACATGGAGGGCTGTCTGGCCCCCCAAAGAAATACCACCCCACTACCAAACCGGTCATGCTGGAGGATGTTGCAGGCAGCAGAACGTTCTCCACGGCGTCTCCAGACTCTGTCACGTCTGTCACATGTGCTCAGTGTGAACCTGCTTTCATCTGTGAAGAGCACAGGGCGCCAGTGGCGAGTTTGCCAACAGTCCTGCACGGTGTTGGGCTGTAAGTACAACCCCCACCTGTGGACGTCAGGCCCTCATACCACCCTCATGGAGTCAGTTTCTGACCATTTGAACAGACACATGCACGTACAAATTGTGGCCTGCTGGAGGTCATTTTGCAGGGCTCTGGCAGTGCGCCTCCTGTTCCTCCTTGCACAAAGGCGGAGGTAGCGGTCCTGCTGCTGGGTTGTTGCCTTCCTACGGCCTCTTCCACGTCTCCTGATGTACTGGCCGGTCTCCTAGTAGCGCCTCCGTGCTCTGGACACTACGCTGACACACAGCAAACCTTCTTGCCACAGCTTGCATTGATGTGCCATCCTGGATGAGCTGCACTACCCAAGCCATTTGTGTGGGTTGTAGACACCATCTCATGCTACCACTAGAATGAAAGCACCGCCAGCATTCAAAAGTGACCAAAACATCAGCCAGGAAGCATAGGAAGTGGTCTGTGGTCACCACCTGCAGAAACACTCCTTTATTGGGGGTGTCTTGCTAATTACCTATAATTGTCACCTGTTGTCTATCCCATTTGCGCAACAGCATGTGAAATTGATTGTCACTCAGTGTTGCTTCCTAAGTGGCCAGTTTGATTTCACAGAAGTGTGATTGACTCGGAGTTAAATTGTGTTGTTTAAGTGCTCCCTTTATTTTTATTTTTTGTGCAGTGTGTATAAAATTTGCTGTGCTGTTTTGAAATTGAGTACCATAGAACTTAAATTGGATTTTTGATGAATAAAAGGCTGTAAATCGGTATGTATGTTTAATGAATATTGGTATTTCAATTTGAGAATTATCTCCATTTTATTTTTCTACCCAATAAACTGGCTCAGGATATATCTACTTTTGGATTCTGTATGACGTTTGGTCAAAACCTGGAATGTTGGTGTGGACCTGGAGCCTTTGCTCAGTTTTACAACTATGGTTTGTTGAAAACAGCAGCAACTTTGTTTACTTTCAGACTCCAGGGCTTATTTTGAATTGAATTACCAGATTTCAGTCCCGTTGCGATGCTTACAAAACCTGGGCTACTGGTTTGCTTTGAAGATTGTTTGACTCCTCTCCTGCAACTGTCTAATAACCTACTAAGCCCTCAGTGAATACTTTTCTAGCAACTTTTACCCTTTGTGTCACTATACCCCACTCCCTCTAGCATGTAAGCTCATTGAGCAGGGCCCTCAACCCCTCTGTTCCTGTGTGTCCAACTTGTCTGGTTACAATTACATGTCTGTTAGTCCACCCATTGTAAAGCGCTATATAAATAATATATACAGGATCCCATTTACTTTTTCATGATCCCATGCCATAACATCACACTCTAAATATATTACATAATCTCTAAAGCACAGCAACTCGGCAGGTAGTGTTGTGAAGGTGATATATATATATATATATATATATATATATATATATATATATATATATATATATATATATATATATATATATATATATATATAATTTTTTTTTTTTTTTAAATCTTACTCCAGAAAAGTGGATTGTCCATAAACATGAGTAATTCTTTTTGAACCAATCATCACTAATTTTGTTACTGAAAAAAATATACATTCAAGAGATTTATTTTTTTTGTATGTAATGGTTTATTTATTTTGCAGAACTGAATGCACTACATGACGAATTAGGTTCTAGTGGGCTTGTCATTTTGGGATTTCCATGTAACCAGTTTGGACTACAGGAACCAGGGAGCAATGAGGAAATTCCCCTGGGATTAAAGTGAGTAGAATATGAAGATTGTAATTAAAATGCTGTCTTTTGGGCAAGAATAAAGGCTTCGCCGTTGAGTTGAATTGTCTAGCCTAAAATTCAACAAATCTCATTAACAAATTTAATAGTGCCAAGTTGTCAAGAATAAAATAATTTAATTGGTACACTTTGGAAATGATCTAGTTTTGATCTGAGGCACTTGGTATGACTTCTATTTTCTGAATGGGGAAAACTCTATGCTGGGCAATTCTTGATACCCAATCAAAGTTGGTTACTTGCCGTGTTCGAGGTTTGTTATTTCTATTTTATATTACTTGTATTAATATCTAATGATGCACTGCTTGTAGGCTACTTAATTGCGCATAGACAGACCGACATATCCATCTCTGGGTTAAATGGGCACTTTCCTGCATGGCCCAGAAATCTTGTAAGGACAGTGTACATTTACTGGACATTTCCAAAGGTATTTGGTTACTTCATGTAACATCTCATTGTTCTTCAGGCTGCCTGGCCAGCCCCCAGGAGCATGCATAGTCAAATGCGTGAAAGCATTTATTGATGCACTCGCACTTTGCTGCCTGGGACAGTTCCCTGGTTTCCCACAGGACCTTGAAATGACTGTTGTGAGGCCTGGTACACACATTAACATCAGTATACATACACAGACATAGAATACACATACACATTACAAGAGACTTACACACTCAAACATATTCATACACACGTCACATACAGAGACATATGCATACAAAAGCAATTTTATTTTTTTGGAGTTGGTTTGCATGAATGTCTATACCTAAAATTTTGTGTCTACAGGTTGCCCTGAGTGTACTAGGTCAGGTGGGTGGTATTTTAAGAGGTTGAGCTATTATAAGAGGATAAGGAGGCCAGCAGGGGTACCAGAGCAAAATCTGTGTAACATTTTACTGTCCCCATAAGTCCCATGCTGCAGCTGTCTTCGCTCATCCATAGTGGCATGCTCTCCTCTGCATCTGGCAGCCATCAATAGCACTGGCACGGCATACTGCTGATGTGCAGTACGTCTCCGAGGTGTGTGTGCACACAATATCTGTCACACTGTGACAGAAATACCTCTCTTCGCAGTGTGTTTGCACCCCCTCTGGGTGTATGCCCTGTGTGCAAGTGTTTTATACTGGCCCTGTGAGTAATTTTACTGATACATGTTGGGCTGTATGTGCATGAAACAGATTTGAGCATAAAGTGGCTTGTTGCTGGTATTGCTTTTACTTTTTTTAAATTTTTTTTAATGTAATTATTTGAGTATAATTTTAAAGACAATACATAAACAACATTACTGGAAGACACAATTTGTCATTGTTTAGTATCAAATAAAATGTCCTATTTAGTTTACTAATGACATACATATAACTAAGATAATACAGACAAGGTATTGCTTAAATTTTCTCAACTGCTTCCATCATAAAGTCAAATATTTATGCAAAGTGACAGAAAAGCAACCAATCTGCGAAAGGAAATTCAGATAGTTTTTGTAAATAAAGGAAACCATAAATAATAAAATGTTTTCATAAAATAAATGTTAAAGTAATGTTTTATAATATATAACCAAACTACCAAAAATATTTCTAGCTTGGAGGATGAGATTAATCGAACACATTACTCTTTACAAAAAAAAAAAAAAAAAATTTGATATTGCCATCTTAGCTTTATTTTTGTACTTTATTTTTATTTAAACTGTTAAATAGAACAGTAGTCAACAGGCAAAGAAAAGTTATTAAAACCAAGAGATATATATATATATATATATATATATATATATATATATATATATATATATATATTTTCGACCAAAGAGCCACACAAACATTTGTAAGGCAACTCCAAATGTCAGAAAAAGAAGAGCAATAGCTTGTTTGAAAACAAGACAAATTTAGTTTTAAAAAATAAATAAAAAAGAGGACAGGATAATGGCACCAAACATTCTTTATATTTTTAGTTTAAATATAAAAAAATATATATAATTGTTTTGACACCACTTTTTTTTTTTTTTTTCAGATATGTGCGTCCTGGTGGAGGTTTTGAACCAAAATTCCAGATGTTTGAAAAGGGGGACATTAATGGGAAAAAAGAGCAGAAAGTATACACATTTCTGAAGGTATCAAAAAATTTATTTTTGTTTTTTGTAACCCTTTCAAAATAATTTAGATCTGCATGTTTTAATGTCACTGTATATTGTCCTTTCACTTGAGTAGGAACATCTTTAAGGTACTAAAAAAAAACAAAAACAAAAAAAAAAAAACATTAAAGGGACACTATAATCACCAAAATAACTTTAGCTTAATGAAGCAGTTTTGGTGTATAGATCATACAGTCTCACTGCTCAGTTCTCTGCCATTTAGTGTTTGGGAGCTGCAGCACAGTTTCGAAACTATTTTTAGTTCATAATTTTCGTACATCGAATTAGAAGAACAAGCACCACGCTGATATCCACTGGTTCTTTTGGACCACAACCTGTGCTTTTAAGAAGTGTCTGTTGCTAAATGCAGAGTGAAGTCTGAAACACAATGCCTGTATCTATTTGCATGTCAAACAGGGACCTGTGATAGATATGGAAACATTATTTCTTGAGTTCCTGTACACTAAGAGGACTTTACAAAGTCAAACTTGAGAGGTGTGCTTTTCTCTAGATAGACTTGGTCAGGGACTGAATTAAAAATATCTATTAGCAGCCAATCAGGACCCGGGATAAGCTCGTTTTTGTCCTTGAAAAACACATTGTGATAAAATTTACCAAGTGTGCACCTTTTAGTTGAACACTGGTCAGTTGTATTTGCAAATTTAAATTTATTATTTAACAAAACATGGAATTCATTGATAGTGTTAATAGTCAATAGCTGTGTAATGTCAAACTAAACTAGCCCCCATTACCTTTCTAGCAAACTTGATTATTCAGCTTTCATCATTATTTATTTTCTTAACAAATTAAAAAATCATCTTATTGGTAATTTGTTTTGTAGAAAGTAAGTCCACAACAGTGGAATTTCAAATATGATAGCATTTCTTTACTTTATTTTCTTTTACCAGAACTCCTGTCCTCCAGTGGGTAATAATATAGGCAACCCACTTAACCGCCTCTTCTGGGACTCCCTCAAGACCAATGATGTCAAGTGGAACTTTGAGAAGTTTTTGGTGGGACCGGATGGTCGGCCGTGGAGACGTTGGCATCCTCGTACACCAGTCGCTCAAGTGAAGAGAGATATAATTTTCCTCATGAAGCCTCAGCACGGTCAACAAAGTATCCTTATGCTGGGAAGGGAGCAGAAATAAAACACTGTGTCAATATCTTATACAACATTTTCTATTCCTGATTATCTCTGTGCTTCTTTGTGCTGTGACTGATCAGTAGTGACTTTAGCTAGCTTTGGATTCTTTCTGTATGAAAGGCAAGTCCAAAAGCACACCAGTGTGGGACTTGTCTGGAAACCAGTATGTGGTGCAGCTGCTCTTTAGTGCATTCAAGCTGCTGTGCTGCTCTGGGATGGGATCCATAGTGCAGCCATGTCTCTTAATTACTACTTAATCTGTAGACCAAACTTAATTCATGTCATTCATCAATAAATCTTGCCAATCTTAAACTGTATTCGTCTTTTTTACCCATTTGTAAAAGGGGAGTATTGAAATCAGAAATATGATGATATGCAGTATCTTCCTGCACTTTTTCCTCTGAACGGAGCTATATGTTATGTAAAACACTGCAGGGCGGGATATCATCAGATATCTCTATAGTGGTTCTCTCAAAACTTGATCCCAAGAGATGAAACACAGGAAGAGCTGAAGCACTTGTCTAAAACATGGACACCGAGCTGCACAAATACAGACACACACATTTAAGGCACTTCTGCAATGACATTTAAATTTTTTTTTTTTTTTTTAAATATTTACTTTTTTAAATTTTATTATTGTAGTCATTTCTACACATATTTCATAACATGTAGAACATTTTAAACTGTTTGTCTACTAGCATCCATTTGGTAAGTATAAAAAACAAATAGGACATCATCATACATGACAAACAAGACAAAACAACAAGAAGTATGTATTAAGGTTCTCTGCTAAGGGGAAGAGAGGAAGAAAGCGAAAGATGAGAGAAAAAGAGACAAATATAAATTTATCTCTTTCTTCTATCATTGCCATTTTTACCATATAACGTCATGGGAAGATATATCTGACTTAAATTTTTCTCAATCTGTCTCAGCCATTTTAGATATTCATCATTTGTTGTCCTACATATACCCATCTCCATTTTAATTTGATATATAATTTGAATTTTCACTTGCTCCCAGCAAGGTGCTGAGGCCTGCTTCCAGTTTCTGGCAATCGGCATCTCTGCTGCTACTAGAATATGTGTAACAATCCTTTTCATTTTGAATATTTAATTGTAGTAAAAGTGATCTAGGTTCAAAGATAAACTTTTTAGAGTAAAGTTTGAATTTTTGTATGGATAATTTTCAATGAGTTGACATTCCCACCATATATGGACAGAGCCGTCTTTAATTTTGATTGGACCCTGGGCAAGCATTTACTTGGGCCCCCTGACTACATATAGATATACACAAATACACTACCTGACACACATGCAGATACACACTGACCGCATATAGATACACACAAGAACATACAAATACACACAGACTACATATAGATACACTGACACACAGATACACAACCTGACACACATGCAGATACACAAATACAAACACTGACATACATGCAGATACAAAGGTACACACACTGACTACATATAGATACACCGACACACACACTGACACACATACAGACACACAGATACACAACCTGACACACATGCAGATATACAGATACAAACACTGACACATACATATACACACGGACTATATACAGATACAAACACAAACGGACAACATACAGATACAGAGACACATTCTGACAGACATACTGACAGAGACACACACAAACAGCCATACTGAAACACACATACACACAGACATACAGAACCACACGGACACTGACAGACTCACACATAGACATACCAACACACTGACAGACATACAGACATTCTAGCACACATACACACAGACATACTGAAACACACAGACACTGATAGACGTACACACATACAGACATTTTGACACTCACAGACAGCCATACTGAAACACACATACACACATACATACTGAACCACACAGGCACTGACAGACAGACTCACACACACAGACATACTGGCACATATACAGACAGACAGACATACTGAAACACACATACACACACACTGACAGACATATTGACAAACACAGACATACAGAACCACAAGGACACTGACAGACTCCCACATAGACATACTGACACACTGACAGACATTCTGGCACACGTACACACAGACAGACAGACATACTGAAACACACATACACACAGACACTGACAGACATACACACACAGACATTTTGACACTCACAGACAGTTATATTGAAACACACATACATACTGAACCACACACACACAGACATACTGACACACTGACAGACATACTGGCACAAATACACTGACAGACATACTGGCACAAATACACTGACAGACATATTGGCACATATACACAGACAGACATACTAAAACACACATACACACAGACACTGACAGACATATTGACAAACACAGACATACAGAACCACAAGGACACTGACAGACTCCCACATAGACATACTGACACACTGACAGACATTCTGGCACACGTATACACACAGACACTGACAGACATACACACACAGACATTTTGACACTCACAGTTATATTGAAACACACATACATATGAACCACACACACCCAGACATACTGACACACTGACAGACATACTGGCACAAATACACTGACAGACATACTAAAACACACATACACGCAGACACTGACAGACATATTGACAAACACAGACATACAGAACCACACGAACACTGACAGACATTCTGGAAAACATACACACAGACATACAGATACACTGACCGACATACTGGCACACTAACAGACATACACTGACAGACAGACATACGCACAGACACTCATGCAAAATTTGATAACCACCCTCCAGTTTCTTACCTTTTCCTGGAGGGTGGCTTCCCTGGGGTCCAGTGGGGTGGCTGGGAGTTAAGCTCTCCCGGCCTGGCCCCCTCCAGAACAGCTGGTCCGACTTCCTCCCGCGTGGCTCCTGTTTCTGTGGGAGGAAGTGACGCGCGGCTGTCACTTCCTCCCAGTGCTGCCGAAAAGCAAGGGCCCGGTCACGCTGTTAAAGCGCCACAGTGCCCGACCGGGCCCCTGCTGACACAGGCCCACCGGGTGGCCCTAAGAGCATGGGCCACCCGATGGGCTCCCATAGTTTGCAGGCAGAGGGCAAAAGGAGCAGCTGTCTTGGGCCCCCCGAGCACGGACAGGGCCCGGGGCAGCTGCCCCGTTTGCCCCGTGTTAAAGACGGCCCTGTATATGGAGGAAATCTCCCCTGTATGTTAAACATCTGTCTGAGGCGTTGGGATACATTCTAGACGGCTTACTTGGGACTAAGTACCATTTGTTTAAAAGCTTCTAATGTATCTCCATCAGATTTAAACAATTGATGTTTTTTATTAACTGTTTTCAGTGATTCTTTCCAATCTTCACAAGTGATATCTATTTTTAATTCTTGCTCCCATTAGTTTTTTATATCACTGGTAAAATCGGGTTATTAAGGTCACCCTTACTTAAATCCATATAACCTGTAATTAATTTTCATACCTTTTATAATTTTTCCTACTTTAATATGTTTGGATGAATTGTCTGGAATTAAATGTTTTTGTAGGTAACCCTTTATTCTAATAAAATTTAAGATTTCTTTATTTAAACCATATTTTGTATATAGCAGCGTGAAATCCCTAATCTTATCGTTATCCAGTATATTTTAATGCTATTGAGGCCAGCCTTTATCCATTTTGAGAGGTTTAAGTCCGCAACATTATACATTAATTGAGATAATGGGAAGCCTGAGATAATTCTATCTTGGAGGTGACAGATCCCTCTAAGTTTTTCCCATGTGTTCAAAAGATTATTAAATACTATACTCTTTGAATATCTATACTGTATTTTTTTTTCTCTTTTGTCCCTAGTCTGACAAAATATTGATCTCAACTGTTTAGTAACATCACTAGTTTTTGTCAAACCCATTTCTATTTTACGCCAGATATCCTCTTTAACAATATCAAACGGAGTATAAATAATATGTGTTAACATGCAGGCTTTCCAATAGTCTTTTAACAAGGGTAAGCCCAGTCCACCTTGGCTGAATTTCAGTGCTAAACGACTAGCACTAATACGTGGTTGTTTACCCAACCATATACATTTATTGAATATAGATTGCACCAAACTCAACCAACTATCTGGACAGGCTACAGGCAACATGCAAAATTGGTAGATCCATTTTGGTAGAATATATGATTTTACGATATTTATTCTTTCCCACCACGAAACTAAAGATTTCCACTCTTTTACATTTTTTACTAGTATATTTAAGTAGAGACATAAAATTACTCTCCATAAGATTGAGGGTTTCTCGTTATTTGAATTCCAAGATATATAAAATTAGAAGACGAGCAATCTAACCCAAACTTATCATATAGTGACCTTCTTAACTCAAGCAGTATATTAGCCGACAGCGGTCGATTTACTTATATTCAATTTGTACCCAGATAGTAGTGAAAACTCATAAATTTGTCCATAGAAGACAATGGATCACACAGGGTCAGTACCACATCATCGGCATACATAGTGATCTTTACACTTTCTGTTAAAACAGGGAATCCTATAATCTGCTTGTCTTCTCTAATTGCCATTCGATAACTATTCGGTAGAGTGGGGGAGAGTGGACAACCCTGTCTGGTTCCGTTCTTCAGTTGCAAAGTTTCTGATGAAAAACACTCTCGCTGTGGGGAAAGAGTATAGGTCCATTATAGATTTAATTATATTGCCAGCAAGACCAAATGCCTTTAAGACCCGACTCTGTCGAAGGCTTTCTCAGCATCTAACGACAGTCAGGAGGGAGGCCACGTCCTGGTGGGCCATATCCAAAATGTCTATGATTCTTCTGATGTTATAGACAGACGATCTACTTTTTATGAAGCCCACCTGCTCATTATGTATGATGGACGGAACAATATTACCTAATCTTTCTGCCAAAATGGCCAAAAATATTTTTATGTCAACATTCAAGAGGGAGATAGGTCTATAATCTCCTATATTCTCTGGATTTTCATCCTGTTTAGGAATGGTTATGTGGCAAATCTAGCCACTTCAGAGTGTTAAAGACGGTGTTCATATGCTATTTGTACATTCTAAGGACTGCATTCGGACGCATGTTTCATGAACCATATTGGATTACTCTGTTCGTGAAACAAATGAAATGCTGAACGGGAGACCACACAAGAGAGTCGTGTGTCTCCAATTAATGAAACGGCAACATTGTTACCACAGAACAGTAATGGTTTTATGGGTAGCCACCGTTCGTATAACCGAACACGTGGCGGCGGCCATCTTTTTTTTCACGAAAGCCCAGCGGTGTTTGGTCGCCGAGTGCCTGGAACTCAAATTGGCTACTCAACTGCACGAACACCGCTGGACTTCCATGTCTTTCGTATCAAGTACTTATTTGTGAAAATAGGGCGCAATCGACAGTTTAAAGCTTACGAACCCACAGTTCACTTTCTACTGTATAATTGTAATGTGTGTTCGTATGAACCCTTCATTCAAATGGCTTTACTATTCTAGTGAACGGATCTGAGCGGTATTTCGCCAGATGGTGCGCTCAGATCCCAGCCATTCAATAAAAGGTCATTTGGACAATTCAGAGTATTTGTACAAGTTATGTATTTTTATGTGAAATGGTATATTTTGCTGACTGGAGAGATAATGTAATTAACAGTATATTCTTGCGCAATTATCTCTCCAGTACAGACTTGTATAAATATGGTGACATTGGAATAAAAGCTCAGTTGACTCCCAAACCATGTGTCGTCTAGTTCTTGGGGGAAAAAAAGGATTATCTTTACGCTACCTGTACTTTGTATGCTGAATCCTGACTACCATCGGAGATACCATGGACTATACTACTACTCCGCTACAGGGTATAATGTGCTTTTTTAAATTTTTTTATTATTCTTTATTTATCTGTGCTTAAGGAGGTCAGTTTCATATTTGTGCTGTGGATTTTAAAGTTTAACTGTGGTCCTGGTCACAGGTGGTGGGGCCGGCCAGCGACGCTGGTTCACTAATGGGGGTAATGGGTTCTATGATTTTAACAGCATTTGTGTCATTCCCTCTTCCCATTCCCCACCCCCGCTGTCTATGTTCTTCCGGCTCTTGCTCCTATCCCACACCCCCCACCTGCTGATATGTCCTTCACATTAGGGAGATAAAGCTACTGTTAGTGTCCTGACGCAATCGACGCTTATGGGTGCTATCTGTGTGTGATATAAGGCCCTCTGAAAAGGCTAGGGCCTAAGATAGAGAGTAGACAGACAGAGATAGTGGAAGAGCAATCGAGAAAGAGGGGAAGGAGGGGTAACATTCCAGCTCCGGGTGGGCAGGAGGAGGGGATGGGCCGGGGAGGCTGGGGCAGAGCCGAGGAAAGGAGGCGAGGAGGGGGGGGACCCGCATCAGCCGTGTCCCCGCCTTTTACCTAGTCTGCGAGGTGGCTCTCCCTCCATAGCCCCCAAGTTCTCTCAAACCTCCTTTGTGTACCCCGCACCCTAGCAGTAAGGTTGTCCATAAGGCAGCTGTCCTTTATTTTCCAGATCACTATTGACCTGGGAGGTGGCTGAGTTTTTAGCCAATGTTCTGCAATAGCTTTACGGGTAGCTAACGTAATTTTTTGAAGGAGTCGCTGGTCCTGTCTAGGCCAGTCATCTATTGATCTATTCAAGAGGTATATCCATGGGTCCGGGGGGGGGGGCCTTTATAAAGCTTGCTCCAAGATGTATCTAACGTCCTCCCAAAACGGTCTAATTTTAGGGCACTCCCACCACATGGATATATGTGCTTCTAAGGCCACAATTCCTCCAGCACAAATCCGATGGTGATTTACGCATTCTGTATAGTTGTACCGGGGTGATGTACCACCTAAACAGGGTCTTGAAGGATTGCTCCTGCATGGAGACACACATAGAGGAGGTGTTGCTTGCCTCCCATATTTCCTGCCACTCCCTCCAGGATCTCCCCCAGGTGTCTCTCCCAGTGTAATGTGTATGTCAGGTTGCCCCATTCAGTAGTGTCTGAGCATAGGTGGGCGTATAGTGGTGTAATAAGGCCTTTAAGCATATGTTTTCAAAGAAAGTACGGGTAGCTAATGCTGCCTTTTTAATATGGGGTTGTCTAGCGAAGTCGGCTATTTGGAGATACCTGAAAAAGTCTGCTGGGGTGAGGTGTTGTCCTTGCCTAACTGTGTCGAATGTTATTAGGGCGCCCCCTTCATAGAGGTGGCATATTCTCTGCGGGCCTGCTTGTTCGATTCTTTTAAAATTACGTGCCATCAATCCAGGGGTGAAAGCCCTATTCATCAGGAATGGCATGAGTGGGGATGGTGCAGAGGACAGGTGAAATTTCTGGGCCGTCCTGTCCCATGTGTGTATGGAGTTGGTGAGGGTAGGGCAGTTAGTCCCCGGTATTGGTCTGAGGTCCTTCGGGACCCATATGTAGTATTGTGGCAAGTCTGCTCCCATAAGGAGTGACTCCAATTCCACCCACTTCCTTGTCCCCACTGGGGAGTGCCACATTGCGATTTGCGCGAGTTGGGCCGCCAAATAGTAACAGTACAAATTGGGTAGGCCCAGACCACCCAAGCGCTACGGGCGGAATAAGGTATGTCTCGCCACCCGGTGTCTTCTGTTTTGCCAAATAAAATTGCTGATGGCTTTTTGTAGGTGTGCTAGATCTGCTTTAGTAAGCGGTAGGGGAAGGGCCTGAAAGAGAAACCAAATCCTTGGAAGGACATTCATCTTTACTGAATAGATCCGACCCATCCAGGAAATGGGTTTGTCCATCCAGTTATCCATGTCCTGAATAAGGGCTCTGATCATGGGGGGGTAATTGTATTTGTACATGTTTGCTGGGTCCGCTGTCAACTGGATGCCTAAGGAACTAATGGAGTGTGTTACACATTGAATGCTGTGGTTATCAGGTATGTGGTTTATGTCTGCTGTGGGTATCCCTATAGGAATGGCACTGGATTTAGACATGTTAATCGTATATCCTGAGAATGGGCTGAAGCTAGTGAGCCTGTAATAGTGACTATGTTCCTTTAATTATGTATGTGGGGTCTGTGTGTGACGGCTTCTTGCATGACTGCGCATGTGTGTGTAAAGTGACTGTTACATAGTGTAAGTGTCTATGTGCATCGGAATACTGTGTGACTGTGCGTCTGAATGTGTGTCTTTGTGTATGACTGGGTCTAGGTATGTGTAAGTGACTGTATAATAGAGTATTTATGTTGTAATTGTGTCTGTGAATGCATATCTATGTATGCATGGCCCGGTGTATATATGTGGGGGACAAAAAAGGAGTGAGGGCAAGAAACAGACAATGGGTAAGGGGGAGTTAATAGATGATGAATCAACATGACACACAAAAAAGGTGAAAGGAGTTAGACATACAAGGGGAAAGGGGGATTGGGAGAAATCCAAAAGAAGGGTCAGGAGATACACACAAGAGATGACTGTGTGCCAAAGGAGAGGCGTGCCAATACAGATTTTACCCCAGGTGACAAATGATCTAGGTAATCTATGCTTTTTGCTCCCCTCTCTCCATGGCTTTAAATTTGTTTGACTTTACCATGTACACTTTATCCATATACTCTTTACAGGGTTGCCATCAGAAATTGTGGGGCCCCTGACACAGCTCAAGGCCCTGGGGCCTGCCCCCGAGTCCACCCATAGGGCCGCCCCCAGGGATGCAGTGTATGTACTGATTGTGGTGTGTGTATAGTGGAAATATAATGTGTGTACTAGATGCAGTGTGTATAGTGAAGGCAGAGTGTGTGTATAGTGAATGCTGTGTGTTTGTGTAGTGTGTGTGTGTGTATATAGTGAATGCAGTGTGCGTTTGTGTAGGATGGGAGAAGGGGTGCATTTTCTAGATTTTGTTTTATTTTTTAACATTTTGTTTTAGTCCTCCCTCCCTGCTTCTTACCTGCTCAGAGAGGGGGCAGATTGTGTTCCCTGGTGGGCCGGAGGCATTGTGATTGCAGCCAGCCGCTGAACTTTGCAGAGGGGTCCCGCAGCACACTCTCACTTCCCTCCAAACAGCTCCCCTGTCTAACTCTCGCGGCCTGCATGCCTTACAGAGCGTTGCCATGGTAGCCTGTGACAACACAGACGGCAGCGGGACTTGTGAGATTTAGACAGGCGAGCTGCCGGGAAGGAAAGTGAGAGTGTGCTGCGAGTCCCGCTCGGCAACAAACACCAGGACCACCAGGCCATGATGACCATTATGGTTGTTATGCCCTAATGGCAGCCCTGACTCTGTATATTAAAGTGTAAATAAAAAGATACTTCTCCCAAACCTTGATTAAGCAATTCTTAGAGCAGGGATAGGCAACTTTCAATACTCCAAATGTTGGACTACATCTATTATAATGCGCTTCTAGCCATAATGCTCACAAAGCTTGAGAGGAGATTTAGTTCAAAACATCTGGAGTGCCGAAGGTTTTCTACCACTGACTTAGATTAACTCAAGTCGCCATACTCATGGAGCTTGGAGTAATCATTTAGCTTTTTTTCATGTGCTGCACTGTTTTCTCATAAAATTATATAAAATACTTGACAAGTCACATCACGATCTAGTTCAATCAGGACACACACAGCACTGAAGGAGGACAAAAAAACAAAACAAAAACAAAACTTTTCTCCTCAGCACTGTGCTGACTGACAGGTACAAAGAACAACTAAATGATTGAAAGGGTCCGATACAGATGTTTCCAAAGGAGAGTGATGCACACACTATTCAATGGGGAATATTCCCAGCAGGGTGCTTGCAAACCGTGGAGAAGCAACGTTCCCAAATACATTAAGTCAGTTTAAATACAAACATCTGGGCACACCTGTTGGTTTGTTAGAGTGGCAGTCCTATTTAGGAGTGCAAAAGAAACAAAGTTTGGCACTTCTGTGCCTCCTCTGTCAAAGTTGACATAGGCATAGGAGGACAAGCAAGTAGCAACTGGCTAGTAAAATTTATTATGAACAATTTATCATTGTCAAAACTTTTACACCAGGCCAGTGTTTGTTTTTTTTAGGTAGCAACAACCGTTAAAGGGATTCTATAGTGTTAGGAATACAAATCTGTATTCCTAACACTATAGTGCCTTCTGATCCCCCCACGCTCCGGCATATAAAGGGTTAAAAAACAAACAAAAAACCTTTACTCATTTACCTGATTCCAGCGCCGTTGTCCCTCGGCACCGGGTTGGTGCTCCGCCTCCTCTGTCATCCATCCAGGAGACCGAATGCGCATGCGCGGCGAGTGCACTAGGCTCTCCCTATTGGGAACCGATTGAGTTTGCTCAGATGTTGGATGTCCTCATGCACTGCATGAGGACATCCAGCCTCATTTAAGGGACTCAAAGCCTGTTAGAATCCTGGAAGAGCCTCTGTAGCCAGCCACCGGAGGCAGTCATAACCCTGCAAAGTAATCATTGTAGTTTCTCAAGGGGGGGCTATTACACCCTCTTTTATTATTACTGCAATACAGAAATGTATTCTGGTCCATAACAAAGACATTCATCCAGCATTCAGAGGCATGTTATTTACTTTAACTTACTTTTCATTCTGCAATTCTCAGAATGAATATAATGCTTAAAGGGACACTATAGTCACCAAAACAACTAATGATCACACAAATCCCTTTAATTAGCACCCAGCTTATACACCGGATGCACAGATAATCAAGAGACCAGGCATAGTTCATATTTAAAGTAATTTATTAATATGTTAAATTACATGAGAAATGAAAAAACAAAACAGATTATGCCTATGGGATTTTTAGAGGTAATTTATTACAGTTGATGT